TTTTCGATGAAACAAAGGATCAGTTTCTGTGAGATCCCACGTTAGTTGGAGAGGAGAACAAAACATTTCTTATAAGAGTGTGGAGACCTCTCCCTAATAGACGCGTTTTAAAACCGTGAGGCTAACAACGATACGTAACGGACAATAGCGGTGTGCTTGGGCTGTTACAAATGGTATCAGAGTCAGCGCGGACGTTGGCCCCCAAGAGGGGTGGATTGTGAGATCCCACATTGGTTGGAGAGAACGAAACATTCTTTATAAGAGTGTGAAAACCTCTCCTTAGTAGATGCGTTTTAAAATCGTGAGGCTAATGACAATACGTAATGGGTCAAAGCAGACAATATATGCTAGCGGTGGGCTTGGGCTGTTACAAATGGTATTATAGTCAGACACCGGGCGGTGTTTCAGCGAGGAAGCGGGCCCCTAAGGGGGTGGATTGTGAGATCCCACATCAGTTGGAGAGGAGAACGAAACATTCCTTATTAGAGTGTGGAGACCTCTCCCTAGTAGATACGTTTTAAAACCGTGGGACTGACAATGATACGTAACGGACCAAAACGAACAATATCTGCTATAGTGGGCTACTTGGGCCGTTACAGTTTCAGTCTCACTAACATAGAAGCTGGATTTGATCACAGGATGGATGGAGGCCAATGGACTCCTGCCAGCAGAGCTCGATACAATCTAAGAGATACCGTTGCCCGCTGCACGACTCAGGTAATTCCCACGTACAAACACGAGAGATCTAATTACTGTATGCATCTCTAAACTTAAGATGATGAACTTCAGGTGTATCCAAGGGCATGGACTGCTATCTATATGGCACTTGATAATGTAGGAATGTGGAATGTGAGATCTGAGAGTTGGGCAAGGCAGTACTTGGGACAGCAGTTCTATCTCAGGGTTTATACCTCATCAACCTCTTTCAGAGATGAACTCCCAATCCCCCGAAACGCTCTTCTTTGCGGGAGGGCCCGTGGTCGTCACACGAGGCCGCTCTAAGTTTCGAAATCGTATAATCTATGTCACGAATGGGCGACATGATTCGAATTGATGATTGTTTTAGCAGATCTTAGATTAGTGTTCCTGTTGGATATAACTTATTCAAAGTGCTCAACTTGAGCTCATGAGTCAAATTTATCCCATTACCTTTCCCTCCATCCGTTATTAGTTCTTGCAATCTTTGCTTATTGCTCAAAGTTTTTGGCGTAATTTTGAAATGGTTAAAATTAATTGTGACGTTCCACGTTGGTTGGAGGGGAGAACAAACTACTATTTATAAAAGTGTGGAAACCTTCCACTAGTAGACGCGTTTTAAAGCCGTGAGAGGAAGCCCGAAAGGGAAAGCTCAAAGAGAACAATATCTACTAGCGGTGGATTTGGGCCGTCACAAATTGTATTAGAGCCAGACACCGAACGATGTGCCAGCCTTCTCGTTGTTTCTCGAAGGGGGTAGACATGAGGCAGTGTGCCAACCCCAAAGGGGGATGGATTTGGGGGCGGCCCCACATCGATTAGAGGAAGGAAAGAGCGCTAGCAAGGACGTTGGACCCTGAAGGAGGGTGGATTGTGATGTCCCACATTGGTTGGGGAGGAGGACAAACCACCATTTATAAGGGTGTGGAAACCTTTCCCTAATAGATGCGTTTTAAAGTCTTGAGGGGAAGCCCGAAAGGGATAGTCCACAGAAGACAATATCTACTAGCGGTGGATCTGGGCCGTACAGAACCGAACTATAATTTAACCTAAACAAAATTAGTTATAAGAGTTGGTAGGCATGTTTGGTTATGTTGACTAAATTGGTTGAATTTCAACGTTCCACATTCCATATTATTTTTCAACACCTAATTGCATTAATCTTACTATATGAATATAAATACAAATGAAAAAGGCAAATATCAATTAACATTTGTTTTAGTCAAAAGCAATTTGATACCATCAACAATTTGTTGTCAAATTAGATCTAAACGTGCCCCGACATTCCCTGCGACATGTTCACGTTAACTACTACTCACTTCAAAGAATGAAGACTATCCCTATAGACCGACACAAGTCATCCTAGTATGCTTTGTCCAGAGGTCACCAAACATATAATTGCTCTAAAACAACACATTTAATTCAAAATTCCTATGATTGAGCTATCGAAAACAAAGGTGGCACATTGTTGGTATAAGTAGTGACTTTCAATTATTTTAAACATTTCTTAATTATCCTATCTTCAAGATCAATCAAATATAGTCTCGATTCATTCATATACCTCTCATTTATTCGAGTATTGACGGTCGTTTGAACACCTAATAAATGATCTATTCAAACTACATTGGCTTTGAGGTTATCCAACACCATACACTTGCTTGGTCTTGATATATATATATATATAAAAGGCATATCTAGAAGATAATATTATGAGAGAGAGTTGCCTAAGTGGGAGTAGTTCATGCTCCATTCATGAAAAGCAATGGAAGCAGGTTAAGCTAAACCTATCTCAAATCAAACTCAAAACCCAAATTCTTTACATCCCATTGGCTAATAATCAATTTTCAAACACATATTTCAATTTTGTACGCTAATTCCATAAAATGTTTTTTTTTTTTTTTTTTTAAGATAAATACTCATTTAAAAATAGAAAAAAAAAACATAATTTTAATTTATGTTTAGAACATTTTTATAATATATCATATCACTAATATTTTATTTTCACAAATTTTATCTGCATTTATTACATTAAATATAATTGTCTGGTGTAATATAAATTATTAAAGGTTATTGGGTGTGAGTGACACATTGGTACGTGACATTTTAGGGAAGTTTAAGCCATGAGAACTTATGCTCAAAGTGTACGATATCATACCATTATGGAGAGTCGTGATTTCTAACATAAATATACATTTTAAAATTCAAATTCAAAAAATATTTTCAATTTAATTCAATTTAATTTAATTTAATTAATTTATTTATTATGAAAAGTCATGCAATAATACATTAATAGATTACATTTTTAGGTGTGTGTTGGAGAGCACTATAATTTATCAATGCAGCCAAGATTTGATGAAAAAGATATACATTTTTCAAAGTCTCTTCATTCATGCATTGACATTGAAGTTTTTGCTTTTAAAATAATAATAAAATTCATTTTAAATTATTTCGAGTCCAACGTCTCGTTAAATTAAAAAAAAAAAATTTAAACGAAATTTAAATATAACTCAATAAATAAAATATTTATTATTTTTACGTATTAATTTTGATCGAACTAATAAAAATGCATACAATATGTTACATTAAAGTATGGGAAGTTGGTTCTTTCGAGCTTGTGTGTCGTGGTGGAACAATATTTCGATGCGACATAATAAAAATCAACTTAGCATAAATATATAAATATAATTCATATTAAAAAGAATAATAAAGTAGAATGACAGACTGGACTTTATTATAAAACTTTATTATAAAATAAATCACATGGGTTTCTTGCTTGAAGCTCCGATTATGGGTGACAATGCCAATATATATTTCATTACCCCTTTTTTCTATCGATTCTGTCACCTACTCCACCATCTTCCAAATTTAATTATTTAATTATTATTTCCATTTTTTAATTAAACATATTTAGTTAAATGACACCTGTCCTATGAAACCACTGAAATTTTTAATATTCTACACTTGGGATAATATCCGTAAATTTTAAAAAAATATAAAAATATTTTTTATGCAAAGTATAAACTTTATAAATTAATGTTATTATCACATGGTAGTATTAAAAAAAATTAATTAAGTCAAGAATATATTTATAAATTAAATATATATTAATTATTAGTTTGAATTTTTTAATTTAATGATAATTTAATATGATACTATAGTAGTAGGGAGCTTGTGCTTGATCTCTTTCATTTATTTATATTTGTGTTACTTTAGGATAAAGAAAGTATGTATTTGATAAAGTATTTCATTAAATACATATTTTTTTTTATAATATATTATACATTTTGTTATTTGAAAAATAAAATATAAATTATGATTTAAAAAATTAATTTTAAAAACCATTGTTGCTTTATATTCTAAAAGGGGTAAGTACAAGAATCAAAACAGCTACCAAATTTGTGATTTTGACCATATTTAGATGAAGAAACATGGGAAACCAGTTCATACTTTCCATTTAAATTGATTAGATCCATTTCAGATTCATGTCCCATCGAGAGAAAGAGTTTTAGCTCGATGTACTTGAACCCTCAAACCATCTTGACCTCGGCTAAGTCCAGAAAACGTGATCACTTGGGCAACTTTGACTTGCCAACGCAGGATATACGTGAATATTTAATTTGGTCGTTGGCGAGTCATTTCCAACTTTCTTTTAATTACTTTAATCAGACTTGCTAATCAAGGGCTTAAACCTTAATCAAACCAAAATAACAATCTAATGATTGACAACTGGTTTCTTGGAGTTTCGATCTCCGAGGGACCTAACAACCCTTTTCGGAGATGTTTCCTCCAAGCCGAGACCCTTCATTTTACCTTTCCCACTTAGGAACAGAAGGAAACCCTCCCTCGGGAAAAGGTGTACTCCTCCCCAGCAATTTCGATAAAAACTTCGACTTATCTAACAATATCTTTCAATTTTATCCTTCCATTTTTAATTTGATTGATTCAATTTTTTTTTTTTAATTATAACTAAAGATTTTAAACTTAATTAAACAATTTAAATTAAACGGTTCATAATTCTAAATTTTTTTATTGAATATTATATGAACAAAGCAAGAATTTTGTTAATATTTTTGAATAGAGGTAGAATGAAATTATTCCCATAGATTTGAGATGTTTTTGAAAGGGAAGGTAAGGTAAAGGAAGATGGTGGTAGGTAGCGCAGCACTATAGTAAATTGAAGTTAGGAGTGAGTAAGACAGGACAGTAAAGGGGAAAGAGGGTGCGGCGTCCTGTTTATAAGGCACAGACAACCAGCTCAATCCATGCAACTTCTCTCCTAGTGTTGTATCTGGGGAGCAGTAATTATGGCCCATTTTTGTTTTAGATTTCTCTGTCTTATTCTTCTTGTTTTGGGTCGATTTAGTTTTGGGTATGGAGGGGATACCGGGTGGGGATTTAACAATGAGGAATCCTGCCGGTATTGGCGGGGGTGTGGAAGCTTCTTTGGGTGGCCGGTTGACAAGGGTTCGGCCGGAGGTGGTGGTGGGGGCGGTGGTGGAGGGCATTCAGGAGGTGGGGTTGGGTCTGGCTTTGGTGAGGGTTATGGAGCTGGGTTTGGTGTAGGTAGTCATGGTGGTAGTGGTGGTGGCGGTGGGGGAGGGTATGGTGGAGGTGGGTCTGAAGAAGGGTCTGGTCATGGTAGTGGATATGGAGCTGGCGGTGGTGGTGGGGCTGGAGGAGGTGGAGGAGGAGGTGGTGGTGGTGGTGGTAGTAATGGTTACGGGCAAGGAATGGGATTCGGTGCAGGATTTGGGTTTGGTGGCGGAGGGGGTGGCGGAGGAGGTGGCGGCGGTGGTGGTG